AGTTTGCTAAGCACTTGCCTATGCATTGCAGCATTTCAGTCTCCTAGTAATTGCTAGCTGAGAAACACAGGCATCTGTTTATATTTCCCCCAAAGAGTGTGGAGATCAGATGGATTATCCAAGGTTACAGGACAGGAGTTGAGCCTGTTGGAAATTCAATGGGTTTACTAAAGGGATGTATATCATTTATTCTCTAGATAGAGAGAAAGAACACACGTGCTAGAGTCCAGCAGAGCTGGTTTTGACTCATAACTTGTGTGTGTGCTAGCTAATCACAGGAAAATACCAAGTCTCTCACTTCTGGACCTCATTGGTTTGTCTGTAAAATGGGATGATAATGCCATATACCCTACACTGTGTGACAAGTCATAGATGAGATAACGAGTTACCAAGATTAATACTTTGTATCACAGTTAAAGAACACAGCTAAGCACATTGTAAACATGTTGCTGCCATGGCCTCTTCCTCCTTTTCCTCCTCCATGCTGTTGTTGACATGTAGACTAGTGGCAGCAGGTAGGTACCCAGGAACCAATGTACATTTGGCCCCAAATTGTGCTCTCACTCTGTGTAATACTCTACACTGTTTTCCTTTCTCCTTGCTATATATTTTTTCTTTCTTTCTCTTCTAAACAATGTCTTTGGTCTTCTAACACACCTGCGTAAATCTTGCTCTCTGTACCTAGTGTTATTCTTTTTACACCTCTCTTAGTATTTGCCATTGATGTTTGCCAGAGCAGTACAGGGCTTAGGGAAAGAGTAGGGCAGTCTAACCATGATTCTTTCACTAGTCATTCTTGAAGAAGAGCCTAGCATTCCCAGTACATGTCTTAATTTTGTTTTTCATGTTCCTGAAGCCAGAGAATCCATTCTTCAGTAGTTAGGCTGATTAATCATAATTGTCCTTTTCAATGTTTTGGGTGAGTTGGAGGCCTCTAGAAGAGCGGAAGGGACAACCCTTGGCTTGGCAATTCAGTGCTTTTCACTGTGAAATTAATTCCCCAGATAAACTGGCGACAGGACAAACAGGTTCACCTAGAGCTTTGGCCCGGCCATACAATGCACTTCATAATCGCTAGGCAGTCCTACCAATGCACAGGTTCCCAGGCCCTGGGAGGGCACAGGAACAGGGGAAGGCACTGTGTGCAGAGCTGGATTTCACAGCCACCAGGAGTCTGAAACACAGACACTATTCACATAGCAAAGACCCCCTCCACAGAGCTTGGCCAGGGCCAAGGTGGCTCACTCCCACCTGCCCTTTCCACTCCATTCTCCTGCACAGCCCCCAAGTGTCCCTACTTAACCTTATTGTTAAGTCTCTTGGAATGATAACAGGTAGAAACCACTGGCCAAAACCAGAGCAGAGGGCCTTACAACTGTCATAGAATCTTTCTTTCTTCCTATGGTCTGTCCTATCCCCCTCTCTGAACAGCACACTGATGGATCTGAAGAAAGACAATCAGCAAAGTTCTTAGGATGCTAAGGATGCTCAGTCATTGTCCATTGGAATTCAGAGATGGGGCCAGGAAGGAAGGGCATCCCAGAAATGAACAGCATGAATGAAGACGTAAGAAACCAGTTGGCATGTACTAATCCCACTTAGACTGAGCTCCCGACACTGGCTCAGTCTGGTTTATCTTTGCATTTCGTAGATAGCTGTACATGTCATTGCTTAGAATGGATATGGAATGAATGGCTGATGGGCCATAATTCAACTAGTGACTCATTGAGCTGACAGCCAAAGTATCTAGTGCTTACTAACTCCCCTGATGAACTATACTGCCTAACTTCCATGCCCTATGTACTCCCCTCCCTTGTTGACTCAGGCCTAGCCACACACCTGATTTTGAACAATGGGCATCAGCAAGTAAAGCTTCAGGAACACAGCACATGGGGACTTATCTACTTTGCTGAGAAAAGACGTGGAAAAAACCACCCAAGGAGGCCATGTGGGAAGAGAGAGAGAGACCTTGATACTACAGGGGGAAAAAAGAAAGACCAACCTTGCAAGCATCCCCGCTGAGCTTCACCCATAACGTAAAGTGATGAGAAACAATAAAACGTTAGATGTATATGAACCACTTGCTTTGGAGGCTATTGTCCAACAACAGAAGATTGGGATGATATTTTTTTTAATGGATTGTCAGGACAAAACAATAGCATGGCGTGGAAAGGTCTTGAAAACAGACACATGCTACTTGTAACTCAGCGCGTGGGTTCAGGTCAACCTTTACGATGATTTGCAGCTCTGCATAGACTGAAGAATCAGCCTGAGGGTGAGAACCACCTTTTCCTGGCAAATGGAGAGCATCACAGAAAGCCACAGCTGGACACAATGCGGAGGTAAATGGATCGTGGGGAGCACCGCCCCACAATCGCAGTGCTTACATGTATATGGCAGGGAACATTTCAGAAGAGGAGCCGAAGGACTGTGGGAGACAGAATGCCAGGAAGTCTGCTCTGAAGCAGTGTCTCCTGTAATTAAAATTCTTAACACTAACTTATACACTGCAAGTGAAGAGGCAGAGCTGGACAGAAGAGAGAGTCACTGTGGTCTAAGGCAGTGGTTCCCAACCTTCCTAATGCTGTGACCCTTCAATACAGTTCCTCATGTTGTGGTGAGCCCAGACATTTTTTTTCATTGCTAGTTCATAACTGTAATTTCGCTACGGCTATGAATCATATTGTAAATATTTTTGAAGATAGAGAGTTGCCAAAGGGGTCGTGACCCACAGTCTGAGAACTGTCTAGGGGGATGGAGTTCCAGGGTGCCTACATCCAGAGGTGACCAGGCCTAGTGAAAGCAAATTAGATGAACCAGCGTCTCGGTAAACTGAGTGATGAGTCACCACGCCAGTTAAATGAGAACTATTTCGAAGCCATGGTGTTAGGCTCTCTCTGAAGAGAAGGAAACGGTTGCTCAGGCAAACAAATTCCTTGACTCAATAAGGGTTCCATGTGCAGAAACATGGGGAAGTGAGGAAGGGCAGAGAACAGGTGGCATTGAGGGATGCGGACGGGCTGTCACACAGGGCCTGGCGTCCTTTCTTAGGCTTGGAATCTTCACTTGTTTCTAGTCAGAATGCTTGCACCTCTCCTGGTCTATTGGCTCACAGGGTTGCGGGGAGAGTAAGTTGAGGAGATACCTCTCTCTCTGAAAAGATCATGGGAAGGGAAGCCCGTGTGTGTGTGTGTGTGTGTGTGTGTGTGTGTGTGTGTGTGTGTGTGTGGTCTGCTTCTATGGCAATCTTTACATGGCTCACTCTTGACAGGTTCGTGTCTTATCCATCTTCTTCAGACCAGACCGGGCACAGTCATTGGCATGCAGTGGTGCTCAGTAGATGTGCACACACTCACCATGGAGGTTTGTGTTTCTAGAATCCAGCATTCCAAGAGCATCTTGGTTAGCATGTTACTTTAACGTTCTGTCCAGGTTTTAGTCTGAGGGAATGAAGGCCACAAAACCATCCATCCTTTTACCAGGAAACTTCTGCTCAGGGAAAGAGCTACAGCCGGCCAAAGGCACTTGTTATGAGCTTCCTGTGCCCCTGGCCAACGGCCCCTCAGGGTTTCCTGAGTTTTAGGTTTCTTCTCTGCCCTTTCTTACCCTTTACTCTTGGCAGTGAGGCTTGGGGGGGCATTAATGTTTGCACCCAGGGACCCAGTCTATGGCCACAAAGGTCTTTATGTCTCATTGAACAGATTCTTGCAGACCCTTCCCCACAGGTCTGAGAATACAGCTCACTGTGGCAGAGCACTAGCCAGACATGAATAAGGACCGAGTTCAGTCATCACTACTGCAAAAACCACCACACAGGTTCCTTTATGGGCCAGGGGGACTTAGTATTGGCTAGAAAACGTGTAATGGAGGGGGCATAAAGGTGAAAGAGGACTGTGGGGATACAGTTTGTGGGTCTCTGCTCTCCTGGCATGTGGTGTTGAATGGTCACATCCCACCCCATCCACTCCACACCTCAGCTCCAATGTCAGAAGACTGGCCGCTCTACCAGCTTTCGGAGGGCCAGACGGAAGTGCAGCAGTCACAGATGACAAGATCCTCTTTACCTTTTAACAAATAGTTTATAAACTTATGTTCATTAGAATTCAGACCAACTGCAGCTGTGCCCAGTTACAGTTGTGCTAAGTCTTGTAAACACTCATCAAATTTCATTCAGTGTGTAAGTCTCTCATGCCATCCTTCCTTTGCAAGCGAACGTCTGTCTCATTAATTCCCTCTGACAGCGTGGGAGATAGTTCACTTCAGCTCAGTCTGCCACTCCCGTCTCCATTCTACATTTGCACCCTCTTTAGAATTCAGGAAAGTAGTTATTTTAGGTTGGATATGGAATGGGGCTAGAAAGAAGGCACAAAGCTCGCCAGGGCCCAGGAGAAATACTTAGAAGTCATCTGCTTCAGGTCTATCCAAACAGGAGTTTCCTAAACTTGGCCTCTGGTTGAAGCCACCCCAGGAGCTTTAAAAACCCACAATTGCCAGGACATCACCCCGGAGGGGAGGGTCTAATTTAAACCTGGGATGCCAGTGGCCATCTTTCGTTTTTTTCTTTTTCCTTTCTTTAAAAAGCACCAGTGTCCACGCTGAAAACCACTGACGCCAATTCCTCATCGCTCTACTCACTCTGGAAAAACAAAAACAAAAACAAAACAAAAACAAAAAAAAAAAAAAAGAACGAGCGCGCAAAAGGAGACGAGGTGGGGGTGAGTGGGGTTCCTCAGAGCCCAAGGCAGTCAGTGAACCAGGAAAGCTGGCACCTGCGCTTTTAGCAGCCCACCGTCGCGGCAAGAAGGTCCAGAAAAATCAGAGCGTGCGGCGATGCTACACACGCAGCCCGGGAAGGGCGGGGATGGTGGGCGGGGATGGCCTGTGCTCCGCCCCTGCACGCCTATCGGCGCGCGGTGCGGGCCCTGACGTCACTCTTGTCAGTGCAGCGGCACATGGACTGCCTGATGCGCTGAGCCCGGCGCTGCGGGGCCGCGGAGCGCGGGGAGCAGCGGCCGCGGCGGGGAGGGGGGTGGGGCGGGACGGCACCGCCTCGGGTGCTCGTGCGAGGGTCCGCGGCCCGCGCTTTGCCTTCTGCTCATCTGCAGCCGTCTACATTTTTTTTTCTTTTCTTTTTTCCTCTTTCTTCTTTTTTTTTTCCCCTTGCAATTTTGAACATTTTGCAAGTCTGAGTGACTGGGAGGCAGGTGAGAGCATCCTGCCCAGGGCCGGAGGATCCCGCGGGCGCTGAGTGAGTGCGCTTGCCCGCCCGGGACTGTCAGCACCGAGCACCCGAAAGTTTTTATTTTTATTTTTTATTTTGATATTTGTATGCTGGTGTATTTACAAAGACAGAGTAATTTTTTTTTTTCTTCCTTGTCTGCAACTGTTTTGAAAGCGAGTACTTTTGGTTGGCAAAGGACGGAGGAAAAAGCTCATCAACATTTCGGGGCGGCGATTGGCCTTCTTTTTAAAAGACAATTGAGTGCATCACGATGGAGAAAATGTCCCGACAGCTCCCCCTGAACCCCACCTTTATCCCGCCTCCCTACGGCGTGCTCAGGTCCCTGCTGGAGAACCCGCTGAAGCTCCCCCTTCATCCTGAAGACGGTGAGCGTTGCCTCGACAGCAGGGCTCAGGGAAGGGACAACACTTCCAGGGACCCCCCCTGCTCTGCCTGGCATCCGAATCTTTCTTCCCCTCGCCTGGCTTTAGTGGAAATTGGGGGCTCACTCATCACTCTTTCTCCTCAATGCAAAGGGGATCTCTCCGGGCAACATTTGAAATAGCGCTGGGGACCTGGCCCGGACTGTCTAGGTCTATCCTGCAACGCAGGTGACAGATGAACTTGACAGGTCTGGATCGCTGCCTAGAGTGACAGGGCATGGGAGTCTGCGGGAGAGTCTTGTCTCTGTGACTGAGGAGGGGAAATGGGGGAGTAGGGCTGGTTAGAGCCTGGGGTCCGAGTGAAGAGCGGGGGTTGGGGGGGGCGCTCACTCGGCAGCCTGGATATTTGGATTGTGTTACTGTTTCCGTTACTGTTTTGTATTGTGAACTCACGCGGCAGGAGCGGAGAGGCTTCTTCTCCCGCAGCAGGGCAATTCACAAAGCGGGGTGGGGGTGGTGGGGGGAGTGGTCTGTCGGCGGGAAGCGGTGCACGCCTCCAGCGCTGACACTTTCCCGGTGCACTCTTCCCGGTGGGAGGGGAGAGCTGAGCAGGCTCACGTGTAACCGCGTGCAGGAGCCGCCTCTGGCTTGAGCCCTTTCTTGGTAAGTCTCAAACCTTCCCTAGGCAACCCTGGCTGGAGCTGGGGAGACAAGGATAGGGTGGGGTAGGGGGGCATGCATGTGAGACCGGGCGGGGAAACCAGCTGATGCCCCACGGATTTGTGTTTTGTTTGGGGCGGATGCAGTTTCTTGCCTTTGGTGGTATCACAGTGACAAAAGCGAATCATGCGGCTCCAGAATAAAAAGTCTTGAAAGATTATTTGGCTGCAAATAGCCTCGGGGTGTTTGCATCATTTTCTCTGGGAGAGAACGCCTGTTGCGTTGCAAGAGTTGCTGGTGCTTGATTGCGCTTCCAGACCCCCCCCTCCCCCCCTCCCCAAACCCGTACCCTTCCTGCGTCTGAAGGAGTAGCATTTGGGAGAAAGCGGATGCGGTGGGCTCTTTGCGGTGGATGTTTTAAGTCTAACTCTCTAATGAGACTGTGGAGGATTTGGAGATTAGAATGAGTGGCAGTGGGGCTGCATATCTCTAAGGAATAAAAACTCAGAAGCAAATTCTGTAATCCTAGATTCCACCCACACCTGAATATTGGCAAAATGCAGAGAGCTTGGTAAAGACCAAATCCGGGGGAGCTGTATTTCCAGGCAGGAAATAGCTGCATTCTTCCATCCTAGTGTAGAATACAGCACCTGTGCAACTGCTTCAGATGGGATGCATCAATGTATACTTTTTTTTTTTTGTAAATTAGGTAATACTTAAATCTTTGGGGAAAAGAAAGAAGAAACCACCGTTTAAAACCGACTTACTCTTTTTGTCCCGTGGCTTTTCAAGCAAATGGATGAGTTTGAAGGTTCTTCCCATCAACCCCCCACTCCCCACCCCCCACCTACTACCCCTCCCACACAGGCCCCTGGCTCCTTCTAAGACAGGAGCCGCCTTATCTTCCTTGTAAATGGGGATAGTTGTAGTCTTGCAAGTTTATTGAGATAATATATGGAAAGGGAGAGTGTAAGAACTAGATATATAGTATTAAGGAGGGGGGGGCTGTTTTACTAAGATTAAGCATGAATACTCTGGCTTATAAATCTGAGTGACCTCAGGTTTTTGCTGTCATCAATTTTTGGAAGATAAAAATCGTGTCAGGTTATTGGTGGTTTCCTTTTAAAAAAAAAATCACATCAGTTGTACATAATCTTGGGTGTTATTTTCCCAGCATAGATTTCAGGGACTTGTCCCTTCAAATAACACACTGAGGACGACTGTTCTCTTGTTTGTATTCCAAATCATCCTGTAGCCCGGTGCTACAGACCGGTGCTTGCTTTCCAAAGTAAATAGGAAGATGTTGAAACTCTAGATCCACAAAAGACAGCATCCAGAGGGCCTCTGGTGCCCCCGAGAAGTAGTTTGGTAACAGATGGCAGGAAAGCTGGTGACCCCTTTTCTCTTCTGTTTTTAAAACAAGGCTCACCTTTGCCTTCTCCTTCAGCATTTAGCAAAGATAAAGACAAAGGAAAGAAGCTGGATGATGAGAGCAACAGCCCGACCGTCCCCCAGTCGGCCTTCTTGGGACCCACCTTATGGGACAAAACCCTTCCCTATGACGGAGATACTTTCCAGTTGGAATACATGGACCTGGAGGAGTTTCTGTCGGAGAATGGCATCCCCCCCAGCCCGTCACAGCATGACCACAGCCCTCACCCTCCTGGGTTGCAACCGGCGTCCTCCACGGCTCCCTCGGTCATGGACCTCAGCAGCCGGGCCTCTGCACCCCTCCACCCTGGCATCCCATCTCCGAACTGTATGCAGAGCCCTATCAGACCAGGTAAATTCTGGAAAGTTCACCCGTTAGATGTGGGGAGTCGGGGGAGGGGGGAGAGATTGGCACAAGTAGGAGACCTTACTTAGCACACCTTCCCAGAGGAGAGGAGGCCTCTCCTCTTTCAGTTCTGAACATCCTTCCTCCTTCAGTGAGCATGCCCAGCCCTCACCTGCAGAGTCAGTTAAATTCGGACTCTATGGACCTGCCCTCAGAAAGCTGGTGTGATTTCAGATCTGGGGTGCAAACCCAGCGTGTTCATTTTAACCAACTCCAAGGAGAATTCTGAGTAGTTGGTTCAGAGGCTACAGTTTAAGATACTCCAGCCTAGAGTTAATGACTGGGCTAATGGGTTAATGTAAACATCCATCCTATCTCCTGCCCCCTCCTCCTGGGTCCCCAAACACAAACATAATAGGATCTTGCTGGATAATTTGAGTAGACCCCAGAAGGCTGGGTTAACCCATATCCGTTCTCTGGCCCAAAGGGGTCAACGCCAGGAAAGGGGTGGGACAGTTATTTGTTTTTTCATTCATCTCGTCTTGTCGTTGACTAAGACCCAGAATCTAAACAATGGCAGGCTTTCCCATTAGCTGAGGCTAAGCCTCTTTCTTCTTAGCTCTCTGTTCCTGGGAGCCAATCTGCCTTTCGGTTCTAGTTTTCACTGTCATCTGTTCACCACATTTATTTCACCTTTATCAAGGCCTGTGACAGGGCTGGGGAGAGAAGCTTCAGGCAATACGTGCTTGTGTGAGGACCAGAATTTGACCCCTAGTGCCCACGTAAAAAAAGCCAGGCATAGTGGCACATTGGTAACCCTAGTGCTGGGGAGGTGGATACCCGAGGATCGCTGAGGTTAGTGGGCAGCCGGTTAAATCAAATCAAACACATGCACCCACATGCACTCCCCCCCATTGAAACAGGCTCACACATATATGCAAATGAACAATGAAATATGTTTTTAAGTGACACAAAAACATTACCTGGAAAGAACTAGCCTTTAAAAATTCCATTGCCAAATAGACAGGGATAAGCACAGACTGAGGCAGCCCTGGATCCATACCTTTAATACTCCACAGCACCAACCAAGAAGGAAGAAAGATCATTGTATGTGCCGGTTCCAGGAACAAAGATTCAAACTGATAAAATGACAGGAAGGTCACCGAACGGAAGGTCTTAGCTGCAGGGAAAGGCAGAAAACAGGACAAGAAGAGACTTGTGTTAGCATTTGCAGCTGAACTCTGTGTCCTCGACTTAGGCAGAAATTTCTGTTACACACAGAGCGGGGCTTAAATGGAAGGGAAGGAGGGGACGGAGAGAGCTCACCTACCTTTCTAGGTTAGTTCTGGAGTTCAGATTCACTCTTTTGTACATCTCTGGGCTTTCAAATCTATTTTACCCCATCTCCCAAATCCACTTTGGTTGATAACTCTAGGCCACGGGTTCTGTTGGAATGAAGTCTTAACCTGCTGTGACCCCCGGAGACAGCATCACCCTCTTGATGTGAATTAGGTGGCTTGCTATGAAGAATGCATAGCTCCACTGTCCTCAGTTTCTTCACTGGGAAAGGTCGCTAGCAAAATACTATGCTGGATATAATGATGTGCCACAGGGAGAGAGCAGAGTCCTAGAGAGTGGACACTGGCACTTCCCACATTCTGCTGCATATCTGAGTGACCTTAGCAATGGCATAGCCTCTTGGAGCCTCAGTTTCCCCTTTAATAGAAAGGTATAATTTCAATTTGATGGAGGCTATTTTGGAAGTTATAGACAATGCACCAAGGTCAGGTGGCTAGCTTCGCGTGTTTTGTTAATTCAAGTGGTTGTGGTTGTTGCTAACTTTCCCTGTTATGACAGTGTCACCTGAAATACCTTCCTAAAGTCACTAGAGACAGTACACAGCCTCTCTCTGGAGGGAAGTATCAGGAGAGTTTGCTCAGTGTCTAGGGTGTTCCTACTGAGAGTGAGAAATTGGGATCTTAGAATTTGAGGCTCAAGTCATTTCTCAGAGCTTCTTAGAGACCACAGTGGTCCATGACTCAGGTGATGGGGATTCCCCACTCAGAGTTGCTGTCCATAGCAAGGAACTCCCAAGTGTCTGTGAGTATCACTTCATTAAGTTACAGAAGAAACATACCAAGGGATCTGGAAAACAACCCCTCCATTTAAATATCCTTTAAAAAGTTAGTCGAATTACATTTGAAAATGATTTTATTCTTCGAATGGAAAAATGCAGTGGTAGTCATAACAAGAAAAAAATCAAAACTCTTTTTTCAAATGACAATAGATAAAAAAAATCACATTCTGCAATTCATACAATGGTGCTCATGATAAAGATGATACTGAGAAATGAAATTCTAGGGGACACGGACTTGATGGATGTGTTATGTCAAGCCAACCAGAAAAAAAAAAAAAAAAAGACCAAGTTCTTGACTGTTCTGCATAGCTCACAGGGCTGACCAGAATAGAAATACCGAGTGAATCTTGAGGAAAGTAAGTCCTCAGAACGGAAGAGCGCAGATGTAGCCATGAGCATTCTGAGAACTGTGTGATTTCAGCCCCAACCGAGATTTCTCAACCTTGGCACTCTCCCTGGAGGACAAGTCTTGTGGTGTACAGCCCTGTGGAGTACAGGATGTTAAAGGATATCCCTACTCTCTCCGTTAGATGCCAGTGGCACCCCACCCTCCAGCCGTGGCAGGTAAAAGTGTCTGCAGTCACCTCCAAACGTCCCCCTGGAATAAAATCTCTCTTAGCTGAGAATTAATGACAGGGACCTTCAACGTAGGCAACAAAATCTAGACTTAATTTAAGCTGCTATCATACAAATGAGGACTTTTTTTTATCCCCTATAATACTCTATGGCAAAACTTTGGGGAAGGTCCAGAGACAATGGGTCGCCAAGAAGAAAAAATATGGATATTAATAAGAGTTTCCCGCACTTTTAGGGGATAGAATGAAGTCACCAGGGTAGCCAGGAGAGATGGTGCAACACAGTTCAGACATTTGCCTTCAACGGCTTGCTCGGTGTGCAGCTTTTGAGTTATGCTCACATAGCATCATGTCGATAGCATTGCGTCACCTGTCTGGGTGAAAGGTAGGGAAGCTAGACAGACAGATCAGGCAGGAGGAGGTGGAGCTTGAGAGTATCTTGGAATAACAAGGTGAGCCTAGTTGGAAACTGTCCATCATGACTGCTCCCCAGACCCTTTCCGTATGTTAGGCATCCTGATCCAGTTCCTCCATGTAGTACTCTAGAGACACATTGAAAGCTGTGATGGTGGTGGTGGTGGTGGTGGTGGTGGTGGTGGTGGTGGTGGTGATGATGATGATGATGATGCCATGGGTTGTCCTGTCCGTGAAGGGAAGAGTGGTGGGTCTTGGATGTGGGGGCCTCAGGGTGTCTGAATGCAGCATGCTGGCTGTTCCCAGCCCAGCAGGATGGCCGAAATGTACGCTTTGCTGTTTGTACATCAGATTATATCAGAGGTCGTGGGGCGAGCATGCTCCTGGCGGTTATGTGCTGGGTACTTGGAAAAATAAGTATCTGTTTGCCCTGAGAATTGAGTGACTGCTTTAAGGAAAGCTGTCCCTTTAGGGACAGTCATCTATATAGCTTTGGGGTGTCCTGCCTCTTTAAGACCCAGATTCAGTTGAGAATTAAGAAGGTTTCTTTTCAGTTCTGAGCCCAGGGACTGAGCTGTGATGAAGGCTGGGTGCACAGAAATGTGAAAATCCTTCTGTGTGGTCACATGTGGGAAGAGAAGGACTTTGAGTGAATGGTACCCAGAGAAGGGAATGAGGACACTTGCTGTGGCTTTGCAGCCTGCAGTTTGTGTCTTCTTTCTGCTTCGTGTCCTTGGTGGTAGGACTCTTGACATGGGAGGGAAATTCCAGCTATGGAGTTTGTGTAATTATGTGGGGAGCTCTGGGCAGGTGGTTTCAGGATTATGGGAAGTCCCACAGAGGAAAATGGGTGAAGCTTGTTTTAAAGGACCTGTAGATCATATCTTTCCCTACCCAGGGTATGTCCATCCACTGGCTGGGAGCCCTGTGAGTGATGGTGTCATGTACAGCACTTTGAGAATCTTGGGAGTTTCTACTTCATTTGGATCAAGAAAATTCTGAAAGGGAGACAAGAAGGCCAGCTTGTTCTGAATGTAGTCTCTTAGAATTACTTATCTTGTCCACCATGCCCTGAAAGGGGACAGACTTAGCCTATTCTCCTGTCCATGTTGCTGACATATACAGAATAGTAATCCCTTGCCTGGGGCAAGAGATATTCAGGGAGGGAAATGGCAAGCAAGGCCGCTTGGCGGTAGGAATGTCGGCTTTGGTACCGGAGGTTGAGGTTTGCATCCTAGACCCACCCTTGGCTTGCCAGGTCATTTTGTGTCTGCTTCTCAACCTCTCTAAGCCCCAGTTTTACGGAGAAATAGAGTGTAGGCTATAAATAATCTTTTCCCCAGGGAGTTTCATCAGGCTTAAACAAGATGAAGCATGGCAAAATGCGATGAAGTGCGGGGCACGGGAAAGCTCGGTGTGAAGTGTCCTTAGGAGAGCAGTGGCGGGGTAAAGGAATGGCGGGGTTCCCTGTCCCCATTCTCCATTTAGGGATTTGTTCGTCTAGTCCTCTTCCCTCTGCAAAAAAAAATAGGACATGCTTTTTTCTTTCTTTTTTTTTTTCTTGTTTCTTTCTTTTTCCCTCAGCATGCCCAACAGTCATTCTTGCAGCTCGTGTGACCTGTCTCTCCCTCCTGGGTTAGAACAAATTACTTCCCTGATGTTAGCCTAGCACTACCATCTCTAGGTGAGCAGCTCCCCTTCTGCCTGTGGGAAACAACCCAGCATCCATCCATCCCCCACCCCTAGGTCTCATGGGAGCCCTGGACACCCTGGCTGCCTGCCTGCAGGACCGTGTGCTCCAGGCACGTGGCCATGCCCTGTGGAGCTTGCCCGACTCTGGGTGGTGTACTGGCTTGTCTTTTTTTTCTTCTTCCCTCCTC